CTCTCCTCTCCTCTCCTCTCCTCTCCTCTCCTCTCCTCTCCTCTCCGACCCTCTCCGACCCTCTCCTCTCCGACCCTCTCCTCTCCGACCCTCTCCGACCCTCTCCGACCCTCTCCTCTCCTCTCCTCTCCTCTCCTCTCCTCTCCTCTCCTCTCTTCCTTCCTTCCTTCCCTCTTTCATTCCCTCTTTCCCTCCTTCCCTCCTCTTCCTTTCTCCTTTCTCTCTGCCTTTCCTCCTTTCCTTGTTTCTTTTTATCAATTCAGGGTTTGGAAGTGGAGGAAAGGTCCTGCCTGAGGGGCAAGTCAGTGTGTGTTGGCTGTGCTGGATAAGTGGCTAATTTTAGATCCTGGAGGCCTCCTCCTCCTCCTCCTGGAGGCTCCAATTTCCAGGCGGGGTGGGATCAGCCCCAAAGGCCACCCATGGACAACACGCTGCTGGAATGGAGGGAAGGGGGGACACAGTGAGCCCACTTTCCCCGGCTGCTTCTCCCTTCTGGGGGTGGGTGTGGCAAGGGAAGGGTTCTGGAAGCGATGTCCTTCAGGACAGGGAGCCAGCAGGACCCAGTTCCTCTGGATCCACTCTCTGATGGCACTGGGGGACCTCAAACAAGCAGCAGCTCCCTTTGGAAATGGTCCACGCACCTCCTCACTGTCCCAGTTCCAGGAAGCACTGGCTGATTATTATTATTATTATTATGGAATAACCCAGGCTGAAAGAAACCTCAAGAGGTCATCTAGTCCAACCTCCTGGAGCACAGGCTGTGCCCTCAGCTTGGGAGAGATGGATCTGGTGGGAGCAGTGAGGTGTGCTGGACAAAATGATTTCTCCAGACTTGGAAAAAGCACTTCCAAGGTCTTGGCCAAGCGTTGACCTGTTTGCAAAAGTTCTGCCTTCCCATCTTGGTCACAGAGATTGGTAGTTTAGTGTATTTCTCCATGGGATTTCTCCTAAACACCCATGGAATTCCAGAGCTGGAGGCTGAGACAGCACAGTCACTTCCTTTCCATCGCCCTGGTACAAGAACTCATGAGGACAACTTGGGATGGGCTGATTTTCACGGGAATTTAATGGGGGGAAAAAAAGAGAGAGGGAAAAAAGCCTGGCTCAGGAGATAAACTGCTGGAAAATACAGTGGGATATGGTATTTAAGAACCTTCTGCCTGCATTGCAGCACGTCTGTAAGAACATAAATACTTATAAACATGGGGATGGGAGAGGAGACAGTGGTTGAACAGAGGCATTTGCTGTAGAACTGAAGGAACCTCAAACCATGAGTGGTTCCAGCTTTGTCTGCCCTGTTTATCCATCACTTTATTCCTCTCTGGGCCTCTGCTTTGTCCATAGGGACAACAACCACAGGGACAACACACTGCTGTGTCCTCTGCTCCCCTTTTTTCCCTGTCCACACTTTCCCTGTGGAGAAGAGAAGAGTCAGCTCAGATGGAAATAAAAAGCCCATGGACAAACACGCATTTTCCTCTGGATGAGCCCCCGTTGCTGGGCACACTTAGCAGCAGGAGGAGCTCATTAAATCCATTCCCATTAAATCTACTCTCATTAAATCTGTCAGGGAGGCAGGAGCTGGAAAGCTGCTCTGGCCTGTCTTGTGCTGTCAGAGCGACATGGGATGTGCGTGGCAGCTGGAGTGGACGTGGAGAGAGCTGTTAAGTGGGGTTGGAAACCAAGGAAGGAATTCCCAGCCTTAGTTTTGCCTCATCTAATGGCATAAGGGCTGCAGGCAGGGGAAGGTGGTTTCTGAAATTCCCGGCAATCCCACTCCGCTTTTGATGTTCCAGCTGGCAAAGGGAATGGGTTCGAACCACCCCCAGCATTCCCCGCTGGCACCGGGCACTCACGCCCGGGCACTCAGGACCGAGGGCGTGTTTTAAACGCCCAGTGCCAGGGCAATAAGGAGGATATAAGGCTATTAGAGTGTCCAAGGAGAGGCCGTGAAGGTGGTGAGGAGTCTGGAGAAGCCGGATGAGGAGCGGCTGAGGGCACTTGGATTGTTCAGCTGGAGAAGGCAGCGGAGACCCCTCGGGGTCTCACGGGGGGCAGCTCCGACCCCTGCGCGACAAGGACAGGACGGAGCTGCGCCAGGGGACGGTCGGGCTGGAGATCGGGAAAGGGTCTTCCCCCCCTCAAGCTGCTCCTGGGAGAGCCGCTGGAAGCAGGTGCCGCAATTCCCGGAGGAAAACAGGCGCCCGAGGGATGCTGAGGCGCTGGCGGCCGGCTCCTCCCGCTGAAGGAGGAAAGGCTCGGGAGCTGCCCCCGGAGCGCCGGGAAAATCCACCTTAACGCCCAGGCAGGAAGCGGCCGGGCGCCAATCAGGCCGGGAAGGGAGGGAGGGAGTCGGGGAGGGAGGGAGAGAGGGCGAGCGGGGCCGGCGGGGAGAGATGGCGGAGGGCGGGGACCCCCCGCCCGCCCCGGGCAGGTACCGTGGGCAGGGGGGCTCGGGGGGCTGTGCCGGGGGACACGAGCGGGGCTCATCCCGGCTCCCTCCGGGGCTCATCCCGGCTCCCCCCCCCGGGCCTCATCCCGGCTCCCCGCCGTGTCTCCCTCCAGCGCAGGTCGGAACCTGAAGGAATGGCTGCGGGAGCAGTTCTGCGACCACCCCCTGGAGCACTGCGAGGACACCCGGCTGCACGACGCCGCCTTCGTGGGGGACCTGCCCACCCTGCGGAGCCTGCTGCAGGACGAGAGCTTCCAGAGGTGAGGAGAGCTGCCGGGGGAGCTGCCGGGGGGGAGGGCGGGGAGACCCTCGGGGGGCGCGGCGAGGTCCCGCGGCAGCAGCGATGCTGCGTCCCTGCGCCTTTCGGGGACCCCCCCTCGCACCCCGGCGTTGGCAGAGCGGGCTGCGCTGGAAGGGACCTTAAAGCTCATCCCATCCCACCCCCTGCCATGGGCTGGGACACCTTCCACTAGCCCAGGTTGCTCCAACCCGGCCTTGGACACTTGCAGGGGTGAGGGTTTTTATGGGAGGGGTGTCAGGGTGGGATGATGCTCCACTCAGCATCCCCACAGCCTGTGCCTTTTGGGAACCCCCAAATCACCCTGTTTTTTTGGGAGAGGTGTCTCTAAGGATGCTCTGCTCACTGTCCCCACAGCCTGCACCTTTAGGGCCCCCCATCTCACCCTGGTTTTCATAGAGTGGCTTGGGTCAGGAGGGACCTTAAAGCTCATCCAGTCTCACCCCCTGCCCTGGGCAGGGACACCTCCCACTAAACTCCCACCTCCCTCCAACCTGGCCTTGAACACTTCCAGGGATGAGGGTTTTTGTGGGAGAGGGGTCAGGGTGGGAGGATGCTCCATTCACCCCCCCCAGATCATCCTCCCTGGTCTCCCAGGACACAGATCTCACACCAGAGCCTGGTGGCCATGCACAAACTCTTTTCAGATCAGGGTGGGGATGGGATCCCATGAAAACAGGAGCCCATGGATAATGGGGAAAAACATACAAAAGGGATTACAATCAGCTGTAAACCCAAAACACCCCATGTTACAAACTCTGCCCAGTGCTAACCCTGGGATAGTTAATTAATTTTCCTGCACCGTGGAGAAAACTGCTTCGAGGGCTAAATGTGTCCTGGCCTCAAAAAAAGTGTCAATTCAGCAAAAAAGGAGAATGAGCCAAACCCTCTTTCTGCCACCAGGGCAGCTGGGGCTCTTTGGACCCTTGGCCTGAGGTTTTTTTGCATGAAAAAGCAGAGTTTGACAGGAAGAGGAGGACTGGGCCCACAGCACCATCACACAGGGGGTGGAGGGAGCAGGGAAGGGGTGCCTGTGATTGTGGGGGTAGATCTGGAGTTCCCCAAATCTCCAAGGATAAAGGGAGCACTTTGATTTTACGACTTGACAGCTTAGGGCTTGGTGGGGGAGGGTTTATACTGCTCCTCTTCCAGAGCCATCTCCTTTAGGAAATTGGGAAAGGCCCTTATCCCTGACCAGCCATCCAACAAGGGTGGCTGCACCTCCCAAACTGAGTTTCCCTGGGTTGGTGATTATGTCATCCCGTGGTCCCTGGCTGAGCGTGGATGTTGCTGATGCTGTGATACAGCTGCATCCCTACATTCTCCATACATTTCTCCCTTGCTCCTGTGTCCTCTTGCCATTTCCCTGCTGCTTTAAAGACTTTCTGCACCCTTTGGGGCAGCTTGAGTTAAATGGTTGTGATCCCCAGCTTGGTCACTGCTGATTTCATGGAGTCATGGAATCACGGACTGGTTTGGGTTGGGAAGGGCCCTAAAGCTCATCCTGTTCCAAGGGCAGGGACACCCTCCACTCTCCCAGGTTGCTCCAACCTGGCCTTGAACACTTCCAGGGGTGGGGCAGCCACAGCAATGTGGGATGTTTCCCTGTCAGAAGGGAGTAGGGCAGTATTTTATATTCTTTAGAGACGATTTTGACTGAGTTTTGGGGCAGAGCTGGGAGAAAGCCCAGATTCCAGGCACTGCTCCCGGCTGTGTCTCCGTGCAGCACCTCTCAGGTTATTGACAGGAGCTTCCTAGGGCTGCTAAAAGGTGCCAAAAATCATGGAATATCCTGAGCTGGAAGGAATCACCAAACCCAAGCCCTTGCCCTGCCCTGACCACCCCAACAATCCCACCCTGTCCCTGAGGGCGTTGTCCAAACGGGACAGCCTTGGGACCGCCACTGCTGCCCTGGGGAGCCTGGGCAGTGCCCGTTCTTCCAGGGGGCAGTTTGGGCTGTTCCAACATCCTCTTTGGGAGCTGGAAGGCTTCTCTGAGCCCCCCTTTTCCCCCGTGGTGCAGCCGGATCAATGAGAAGTCGGTGTGGTGCTGCGGGTGGCTGCCCTGCACCCCCCTGCGCATCGCGGCCACCGCCGGCCACGGGCCCTGCGTGGACTTCCTGCTGCAGAAAGGGGCCGAGATCGACCTGGTGGACGTCAAGGGACAGACAGCCCTCTATGTAGCCGTGGTCAACGGGCACCTGGACTGTGCCAGGATCCTGCTGGAAGCTGGGGCCGATCCCAACGGCAGCCGGCACCACCGCAGCACTCCCGTGTACCACGCGGCCAGAGTGGGACGGGCAGACATCCTGCAGGAGCTCATCAGGTGGGAGCTGGGGACAGGGGTGACATCCTGCAGGAGCTCATCAGGTGGGAGCTGGGGACAGCCTGGAGGAGGGACAGGGGTGGTTACGGGGTCGAAATCCTGCAGGAGCTCATCAGGTGGGAGCTCGGGGACAGCCCGGAGGGGACAGGGGTGACATCCTGCAGGAGCTCCTCAGGTGGGAGCTGGGGACAGCCTGGAGGAGGGACAGGGGTGGTTATGGGGCCGAAATCCTCCAGGAAATCATCAGGTGGGAGCTCGAGGACAGACTGGAGGAGGGACAGGGTGTCGTTATCAAGAGGTGCCTCTGCCCAAATCCAGGTGTGGGAGCAGATGTGGTGATTTTGGGCCCCGTGCCGAATCCACAGCAGGGATTTCACGGAGCGATAAATGTGAGGGAGGGAGGTGGAAAGCAGCAGGAAAGAGCTGGGGGGGAAGGAGAGGAGGAAGCAGGAGATCATCCCCACCTGTGCATCCAGGAGTGTCCCACTGGGCCTTCTTCCCCCTGGGCTTCCCCCTGATGTCCTGGAGTCATTCTGGGGGCACCACCTTTGGACAGTCCAAGTTCCAGGTATCCAGGGGGTGGTCACAGGTATTCCCATAATTTGGGGTGATACATTGTGAGCAGTTGCTTCCTTTCCCACCGTTTGCCACGGTGGGAATTTTTCTCTGGATGCTCTGACCAGGCCTGGAATTGGCACCTTCCTGTCACAAAGTCCTCCTATCTGAGCTTATCCCAAATTCCCCTGTAGTGGCTGATCTTAGGGAACGTTCCTTCTGTGGCCTTGGCAGTGTTTGAGACAGGGAGCTGTGACTCTTGTCCTTTCTCTTCTTCCCTTGGGATCTTTTCCCAGCCTCCACATGCCTGATGGAGCTGGTAAAGACATGGAGAGGAGAGAGGGTGGAGAGATCCCAAATGGAGATCCTTGTATTCCCTGCTGGCAGCAGGTCTGTGTCCTGTGGTGTGACTTCCATGCCTGTTGTCCTCCTCAAAGCCCAGGAGAGGAGTCTCCAGTTCTGGGCATCCACTGTTCAGTCACATCCAAATCTTCCACAGGATCCAGCTCCTGGCTCCCAATTGAATTCCAGAGGGAAGTGGATGTCCCAAAGAACCTCATGGGGTGATGGGTGACCTCCTGTCCCTCTGGAAGCTCCCTCAGCAGCACCAACAGTGAGTGGGATCAAGGTGTAGGTTGTGGGAACCTGGATTGCTTTTTCTGTGGCATTTCCTGATTATTCCTGCTTTTAAATGGGAAGATTTTTGTCTAAGGGATCATGCTGGACAACTGCCTTGATGCCAAATAAGGAGGGATCTCCAGGGGAAAATACAGAGAAATAGGAAAAGAGGAGAAAATTTCCTTGGATTCACACAGTGTCCAAATCAAGGAATCCCTTCTATGACCTCAGATGCTGGAAAATAACAAACAAAGGATCGGGATAGAGAAAATTCCAAACCCTTGAGGGTTTTATTCCCTTCTTTGCATGTGGGGGAGTGAGTTTTCATCCGAGTGCAGCTTTCAGGAAGCTGGCAAGGAGGAAAAACAGGACACAATCCCCCCTCCTTGCTCCTTTCCTGGGAAGCTGAGAGCAGGATGTCCCCAGTGCCACGTGCTTGTTGATTCCCAAAAATCTCCCCTGATCCATCCACCCAGGCAGGTTGGAATGTAGCAAATGGGATTTCAGCAGCCCAGGGAGAGCTGGGGGCCTTGATTTATGTGTCTGCTCCTCGGGATGCCTTGCCAGCAATATTAAAGGCAAGATTTTTGGAAAACTTTCAGGCTTAAAAATGAACTGGAGTTTGTCCAGTCCCTTTTTATTCGGGAATGTCTCTCCCAGGGCTGCTCAGTTAATACCAAATTGTCAGATTGCCCAAAAGGTCAAATATCCCTGAGCAGGGACTTCACAGATCCAGGGAGTTACTTAGTTCAAAATGCAGCTCTCTCCGAGGGTTTGGATCTGGCAGGAGGAATGCAAAGGGGAAGACATTTTTCCTGGGATATGAGGAAATCTTTCAGCCCCAGAGAACCCAACCCGCTCAGGTTGTCTGAACCTCACCTGGTTAATCCTGGGTTTAAAATCATACCATAGCACAGTCGGGACCCCTGAGCATTCCTGAACCAAGGAGGAGGTGGAATTGTATCCATTAATAGTAAATCCACACATCTCTGGGATGGTGATCCGTTTCAGAAGGCAGCTGGTGGAAATATTTCGAGGAGAGGTGGCTTCCCTCCCGGCTTGGGGTGGGATGGGTTGCAGTGGCTGATCCGGCAAGGATGAGAGGATCCTTTTTCCAGGTTAAAACAGGGAAAAAGGAGAGCTGACACATCCCCCTGATGCTTCAGGTGCCTGTCTGACTCTGACAAAGTAGAATTTGGGGTGTTGCTCAGAACTGAGGCTTTCCTCTGAGAATTTTGGAGGAAAAAAGGACTGAAATGAAGGGATAGCTGCTCCCTGCTCAGGAGGTCACCCTGTGGAAGTGGCACTTCATCCAAATGCTCCTGGAATGTGATTTGAAGAGGAAAATCCACCCTTGTGCCATTTGCAGCTCTTGTTCTCTCATCCCTGGTTCTGGGTGTGCTTGAGACTCTTCCCACCCTCAGCATTGAAGGATTTGGTTAAAGATTTCCTGGTTTCAGCAAGAACTGACCTTGTTCCAAGGCAGGATTTGTCCCCTGGGATTGTCCTTATTTTTGTCAGCTCCTGCAAGAAATATAATGCTGTCTAGGAAGACAGAAGGATCTCTGAGCACCCTGTTTGCAATTTTGGGAGGGGAATTGGTGAGCGAGGGAACCTTTTATCCCTGTGTGGGGAGAAGGGACAGAGCTTGGCTCAATCTGCAGTGGTTAAAACCAGCCATTCCTTAGGGATTGGGGTGGCTTCCTCCTTTTTCCCATCCAAGCTGTATGGGAAGGAGATGGAATTAGTGTCTCCACTCTTCCATGGGGTCAGTCCTTCAGGAACTGCTCCAGGTCCTTCCATGGGGTCAAGTCCTTCAGGAACTGTTCCAGTGTGGGTCACTCTTCCATGGGGTCAGTCCTTCAGGAACTGCTCCAGGTCCTTCCATGGGGTCAGTCCTTCAGGATCTGCTGCAATGTGGCTTGCTCTTCCATGGGGTCAGTCCTTCAGGAACTATTCCAGGTCCTTCCATGGCTTCAGTCCTTCAGGAACTACCCAATGTGGGTCACATTCCATGGGGTCAATCCTTCAGGAACTGCTCCAGGATGGGTCACATTCCATGGGGTCAATCCTTCAGGAACTGCTCCAGGGTGGGCCACTCTTCCATGGGGTCAGTCCTCCAGGAACTACCCCAACATGAGTCACATTCCACGGGGTCAGACCTTCAGGAACTGCTCCAATTTCATCTTCCAACTACTTTTTTCCTTCTTAAATCTGTTATCCCAGAGGCATTACTCTCATTCCTGATGGGTTCTGCCTTGGCCAGTGGCGGGTTCATCCTGGAGCTGGAATTGCCCCTGCTGGATATGGAAAAGCTTCTGGAAAAACCACCCCTGGAGCCCCGCCCACTACCAAAACCTGGCCATGCAAACCCCATACAGGAAGGCAAGGAAAGACGTCTCCCAGCTGCTCTTCACCTTCCCAAATTCTGGGAAAACCAACCTTGCTTCTGGAAGATCCACCCACACTGGACATGTTGTCCCTAATCCGAAGCCCCTCCAGACCCGCCTGAGGGTGACAGTTCATGGCTGGTGGGACCCAGAGGTGCCAAAGGCAGGGTGGGAATCCCCCTGGGGTGTTCCCAGCCCTCCTGAGTTCCCTGTGCCCACGCAGGTACGGCGCGGACGTGGACGTGAACCACCACCCGCCTTCCCGGGGCCACTCCCCGCGGCCCCTCACCACGCTGGTGGTGTGCCCCCTGTACATCAGCGCTGCCTACCACAACCTCCAGTGCTTCCAGCTGCTGCTCCGGGCCGGAGCCGACCCGGATTTCAACTGCTGCGGGCCCGTCAACCTGCAGGGCTTCTCCAGGGGCTCCCCGGTGTGCGTGCTGGACGCCGTCCTGCGCCACGGCTGCGACGCCGCCTTCGTCCGGCTCCTCGTGGACTTTGGGGCGGATCTCAGCCTGGTCAAGGTGGAGGCCTTGGGAGTGGAATCCACGGGAAGGGTCAAAGTCAACCCTGAGGCTCTGGAGGTGTTCAAAGAAGCCAGGGGTAAGCGGGGATGGGGTTCCTGGGAGCGGCGCTCTGGAGTCGGGAGGAGGCTTTGGGGAGGTTCTTTGGGAGTGAGGTGGTGGGGTGGGGTGTTCCCGGCCTCTTTTGGGCCTTCAGCAGTTCTAACACATCAAAACCACAACTGGGCTCCAGCAGGGTGTTAAACTCAACATCAGTGATTTCTCCACCCCAAAATCAGCTCCCCATTTCACCTTCACAAGATGAAGGTGCCTTTAGGGCCTGTTCAAGGACCTTCAGCAATTCTAAACACATCAAAACCACAGCTGGGCTCCAGCAAGGTGTTAAACTCAACATCAGTGATTTCTCCACCCCCAAATCAGCTCCCCGTTTCTCCTGTTGCATTTTGTACCTTCACAAGATGAAGGTGCCTTTGGGGCCTGTTCAAGGACCTTCAGCAATTCCAACACATCCAAACCACAGCTGGGCTCCAAGAAGGTGTTAAACCCAACATCAGTGATTTCTCCACCCCAAAATCAGCTCCCCATTTCTCCTTCACAAGACGAAGGTGCCTTTAGGGCCTGTTCAAGGACCTTCAGCAATTCTAAACACATCAAAACCACAACTGGGCTCCAGCAAGGTGTTAAACTCAACATCAGTGATTTCTCCACCCCAAAAATGACTCCCTGTGTCTTCTTCTGTTGCATTTTGTGCCTGGAGGTGCCTTTGGGGTCTCTTCATGGGCTTTCAGCAGTTCTGAAGACCCACACAAGTGAGTGTGTTTGGAGCCTGTTCAAGAATCTTCAGCAATTCCAACACTCCAAAAAGACATCTGGGATCCAACAAGGTGTTAAACTCAACATCAGTGACTTCACCACCCCAAAACCGACTCCCTGTTTTTTCCCTGTTGCATTTTATACCTTCATGTGCTGTTTTCCCTCCCGAGTCCTTCAGCAGCCCAATCTCTGTCTGTAAATCCACTTTTTCCCTCTTTCCCAGCTCTTTCCCATCGCCTGAGGGTGTCCTCAGAGCCTGAGGCAGGGTTTAGGACTATCTGAGCTGGGCTTTGGATCTGTGGATCACCACTGAGATCCAGTTCTCCATAATCCACAAGTGTATCCCAGCTGTTCTTGAGTGCCCCGAATCCAAGAATTTTATCCTGAGCGGCTCCTTGGGACATAAAGCCCTGAATGGTGGTGACAAGGGGCAGCAGGAAGCTCAGATGGGGGTGGAAAAAGGTGGGAAAAAGCCAGATTTTTGAATGGAACATCCTCTGGGAAGCAACCCAGAGCTTCGGAGCTGCCCATGCCTGAACTTACCTGCTGTTCCTCTCTTTTTCTGACTAAAGCCACATCCACACTGTCCCTGTTCCAGCAAGGGCAGCTCCTGGGAACACACCAGGCTCCGCTGGTGGAGGCCACGGCTTCACGCCAGTGGGGTTTCCCTCGGCGTCTCCTGAGTAATTTCCAAAGGATCCAGGCTGTGGGATCCAGCCCCCATCCCCAAGTTCCTCAGCTTTGCACGGGCCTGGTTTTTAAACCTGCCTGGATTTTTGCTCAGGCTCAGCTGGGCTGGAGCGGGTGGTTTTGGTTAAACCCGGGTTTAGGAGGCAAGTGGGACTCCTCAGGTGGAGCAGGGAGGATAATGGAGTGGTGCCTTGGAGGTCCAGAGCCTGAATGAACATGGACACCACCATCCTGTTGTCCCTGTGCTGGAAGAGCTCTCCAGGAACTCCCAAGCCCTCAGAAGAAAGTTGGGATAAGGCCTGAGCTGCCCTTCCATGCTCTGGTTTCCCAGCAAAAATAGTGTCCATGTATTTTCAGAATGATCCAAGTAGAATCATGGAATATCCTGAGCTGGGAGGGACCCACCAGGACCATCCAGTCCAACTGCTGGCCCTGCCCAGGACACCCCAACAATCCCACCCTGTCCCTGAGGGTGTTGTCCAAACACTCCTGGAGCTCTGGCACCACCGCCCTGGGGAACCTGTTCAGTACCTTCCAGAACCTTCTCCTGATATCCAACCCTCCCTGACACAGCTCCAGCCATTCCCTGGGGTGCTGGTGTGCCTTGGCAGCGCTCTCCTGACCCCTCTCCTGCAGGGATGGGCTCCATGGTCCCCACCCCACCCAAGGTGGAGCTGTCACTGCTCCAAATCCTTGGCTGGAAGGTTTGGCTTCCTCAGGGGGAGGATTTGTGCAGTTCTCCCTGTCCCTGTCCCTCAGTGATTCCATGTTTTTCCTTGCAGGCCGCCCCCGGAGCCTCCTGTCCCTGTGCCGCATCGCTGTCCGGAGAACCCTCGGCAAATCCCGCCTGGATCTCATCCATATCCTTCCAATCCCAGACCCCATTAAACAATTTTTACTCCATGAACACACTTAAAGGACAACTGGCTGCTTCCCTGGATGGTTTGGTTTGCTCAGTTTGCCGAAGCCGGGTGCCGATCCCAACCCTTTCCCCACGGAGTGCACATCATTCCCTGCTCCTGGGATTTTTTTGCCCTTCCAGATTTAAGGGGCAGTGGTTCTGTGTGTCCCTCATCTCCCCAGGGATTCGCTGGGAATGAGCCTGATCGAGGTGTGTGGGTGTTCCCTGAGTAAATACAATATATCCTGGAGCTGCTGGCATGAGTGGAGCTCTGTCACTCCTCTGTTCCACACTCCCGGCTCTTCCTGCTGGAGCCTTTCCTCTTCCTATAGGGTACAAGGAGGCCTCTCTCTGCCACCAGTACTTGGCCTTTTCCTCCTGTGTGAAGTTTGTGAGCAAAATTAGGGGTGTTTTCCTCTGTCCTCTTCTGGTGGCACAGAAAACCAGGAGTTCCCACCTCCCTTTGACTCCAGATCCCGTGGCATGGTCAGGGAAAGCCCTCCCAGATCCGCCTTCCAGCTCTGTTTTGTTTGTGGAAAAGGGAGAAGAAAGGGCTTTTTGGCTTGAGTTGGGAGACTCAAATTGGGAGATTCTGTGCCTGGACTCCTTTGATTCCCAGTGCCTCTTCGTGCCACAGGCTCCCAGGAAAGTGTCATCTCCAGGGAGCCAACAGCCTTTCCTCAGGATCTCAGGGTCAGCTCCTTAGAGGCTCAGGGTCAGTGTGGAGGAATCCCTGCCAAAATCCCAGCGTTAGGAGGGCAGAGATGATGGTCCCTCAGGATCTTGGGAAAAAGCTCAGGTGATAGTTGGTACTTGCTTTTACTTCACTGCTTCAGGTCCTTTCTGGTCCCTGTGTTAGAAGGTGATTTTTTGGACAGTTTTGCTCTGCCAGATGTTCTTCCCGTGCTCATCCAGTGGGCAAAGGGGTTTTTCCAGATGGGGCTTTAAAGATCATCAAAGCCCAGACTGGGTTGGGCTGGAAGGAACCTTACAGCTCATCTCATCCCCAACCCCTGCCATGGGCAGGGACACCTTCCACTAGCCCAGGTTGCTCCACGCCCCATCCCTATGGATTTACCCCATAGGCCTTGACAAATGTTCTCTATCCAGAGCCACAAATAAATGGAGGGCTGGAAAAACCCAATCCCTGATTATTTCCTGTTATTTCAATTCCATGGCCTGGAAGATCCAGCTGCCCCTTCCATCCTGATTTTAGCTTAAGGTGGCAAAAGCCAAGGATGTTCCCAAGCCCTCCCTGGGTGAGATGGGACGGATGTGGAGCTGTGAGCAGGTGAGGAGGCAGCAGCTTTTCCCCGTTCCCTTTCCAGGCGAGCAGCTGGTTTCGGTTTTCCCGGTGCCTGCGAGTCGTGTGCTCGCTTTATGGAGGTGTTAACATGCCTGGGAGATGCAAACAAGTTGTAAAAGCCTCTTGGCACCTTGCTGGGGGATCCCTAATGTTTTGCAGGAGCACGGGATGGCCGTGCTCCGGGAGCTCCGGTGCGGAGGGGCGGGAATCAGGGTGGGTTGTGTCGGGGCAAAGCCACGGAAGCTTTTCGTGGAGTGGCTTTTCCCCCCGGGATTTTGAGTTGCTTTGCAAACTGGGCGCTCCTGGGTAAAGGTGTGGGGAGAGGGAATCACAGAAGCCCAGAATCTCCGAAGTTGGATCCCTAAGGACCATCCAGTGCAGCTCCTGGCCCTGCTCAGGACACCTCAGCAACCCCACCCTGACCCCGAGAGCCTTGTCCAAGCTCTTGGTGCTGTGACCAAACCCTGGGGAGCCTCTTCCAGGGCCCAACCACCCTCTGGGGGCTGCTTCCACCTGGAATGAGCTATGGTGAAGTGCCCCAGTGGGAATTCCCCCCGGAAAATGGGGAGAATTTGGTGAATTTGCTGCCTGCTGTAACTCCAGTATAATTAAAGCTAAGCCTGTTACAATATTAATTCTGAAGTCAATCCCAAGGGTCCCCCTGACCATGGATTTCTCCAGGTCAAGGGATGCTTCTCCCAGCCCAAGCTTGGAGTTCATCAATCCCTTGGCCATGGGCAGAATCAAAGCTTTGAAGTGCAGGACACGTTTTGCCGGGATCATCCATCCAGCTTCCATCTTAACTGAGGGAATGTGCCTGGAAAAGGTCTCTTAAACCTGGATGGTCTCTCTTTTGGCTTCAAATGGGTCCACCTTAGGGGCAATTCAGTATTAAGCTGTAAGTGCCAGACTTCTCTTATTCCTGTGGACATTGGTTGCTGCTTAAACCCAGCCTACTTAAACCCGGCTTTGCCAAGTGGTTTAATACACAAGAGAGCTGGAATTTTCCTTGTGGAGAGATAATACTGAATCTGAAAATAAATTAATGATAATTATTGGACCTCAGTGTCCCGTGGGGCCCAAACCTCCATCCTCTGGCTGTCCCTGTCCTTTTAAACCCAGGAAACGAGAGCCTTCCTATATAAAATCTGAATAATATTTAGGCATTCTGATCTAAATATTAATTAGTCATATTCTAAAAATATTTAGGTATATTCTGATAATATTTTATGCATTTATGTATTTTCAGACCATATAAACAGAACCAAGGCAGATCTGGAATAAGCCAGGCAGATCCAATGCAACCTTTTTTTCCTGTGGGCTTTCCTTTGTCTTTATGGCTCAGGGAAAATTTCCAGGCCATGGAATGTTGGGAGCTGGGACCCAAAGAATTCCTGCTGTTTGGAAATTTTACAAAAGGTGGAGGAAGAGTTGAAGCAATTTTGGGGTTGTTTTGGGTGGGTTTCTTTGGACTTTGCTGCTTGTTTTTCAATCCCCAAAGTCAAGTAATAAAGCCCTTTTTACCCCAAAAAGGTGCAGCACCTTTTTAGCTTTCCGTCTTCCAGGGAGCAAAACACCAGGAGGGAACAGAGGGGACAGAATCCCACTTCAGAAGTGCCAATCAGTGGTTTGTTGGCTTTTCCCAGGGGGAAAAAATCAGCCCTGTGGTGGGTCTGGATCCACGTGGAGCCGAATAAAGATGTTGCAGTGCAAGAGCTTGGCTTTGGGCCTAATTCTGTGCTTCAGGAGATGGCTCTGGATTTGGGACAGCCCGGATCCCGCCGGCTTTGGAGGCTGTGGCTGCCTCCTCTCCGTGTTCTGTAGCCACTGGAGGGGGCCGGAGAACAGGGAATGCTCCAGTGCTGGCTCCTGCCCTGCCACCCCGGGAGATCCTGAGTTCCCTGGCTTTTCAGGAGAGTCTGAAAACTTTCCACCTGCTCCCTCAAAACGGGCTCTTCAAACCTCTCATTCCTGCTCCTGCCTCCTTAGTAGCTCTGGAAATGCAGCTCCTTGGTGTGTCCTGGCATGAAAACACATGGAATTCCTCGAAATATCTGGATTTTTATAACTTAGCTTTTTTTTTTGCAGCATTTTCAGTGGAAAACTCCCTCCAAGCTTTCGCTGCAGGAGTTCCTGCTGGTTGCTCTGTTCTTCCCAAGGATTAGCAGGTGGATTTAGTCCCTGTAGGTGCCCCCAGTCCAGGGCACAGTCCCTTTTTTAGGATTCCTGCTCTTCCCATTTGGGAAGTGTTTGCCTGCTCTGGTGCCAGCGCTCCCTCTGAAGGCAAAACCAGAGTTTCTTCCCAGCTGGAAGAAAACCATCCAATGGTTTGGAATTCTGGTGGTGAAAAGCAAAGCCAAACGAGCCCTAATCCTAAATTTTCCCAATCCAGCCTTGAAATTCCTCTGCTGTGGAGCAGGAGCCTCCTGGCTCTCTGGGCATCTCCCCCCAGGCCACCCCAACTGGGAACCTCGTGGTGCATCTCAGGAGACTCCTCACCTGGGAGAGCCCTGTGTGTCTGAGCTGCCAATCCCAGGACAAGCAATGTGGATTGTTGACAGGAGTTGCATGTTTTCCACCTGTTCCCTCAGTTACCCCTCCAGGGCAGAGGAGCTGGGAATTCTGGTCACCTCCCAGTGAATTCCAGCTGTGACAGACTCACCTCTGAGCCTGTCATTGCAACATTTTCCTTCTTATCATGCTCAGGAACCTTAAAGGAAGAGAAAAGATCTCTTCTTGCACCGTGTGATGCTCAAATATTTGCTCTGGGCTTTAAGAACCCACCAAATCTCAGGCAGTGTCCAAGCAATTCCTGTAGGATCCGTTATTCCCACCGCTGGGCAAGCCCCTCATTATTTGACTTGTTGGCTTTCCCCATCAGCTCCTTCATGTCTTCCCTCCCAAAGGAGGTCTTTGATCCCTGGAAGAAGAAGGAAAAAGGTTGTGGAGGGGAAAGAAGAAGAAAATGGTGGAAGAGAAAAAGAAGGAAAAGGTGGTGGAAGAAAAAATAAGGAAATGATTGTGGCTACCCCATCCCTGGAAGTGTCCAAGACCAGGTTGGACAGGGCTTGGAGCAACCTGGGATAGTGGGAAGTGTCCCTGCCCGTGGCAGGGGGTGGCACTGGGTGGGCTTTGAGGTCCTTTCCAACCCCAACCCGCAGCCCCCAAACCCACAGTGGCACTGGGGAGTCATTCTCCTGCCTCCATTTCCCTCTGCATCCAGCACTTCCCCCCTTGTTCCGTTTTCCACCTTTTCCCACTTTTTGGATTTTTTTTTTTTTCGCTGGTGCTCCCAAGCCAAACAAAATATGCTGTTGTTTACAGGAAAGGGTTCTTTGTTTTCCCAGCATCTGGTGTTTGTAACAGGAATGACAGATCTTCCCAGCAGAAAAACCCTCCAGCCTGGCTGTGCCTGGCCAGGAATCCACATGTGCCACCACATCTTCATCCCAAAAAGGTCCTGGAAAATCCCAACCACGTAGGAAAGGGCTCAGAGCAACCTGGACTAGTGGAAGGTGTCCCATGGCAGGAGGTCCTTAAGGGCTCTTAAAATGTCCTTAAGGTCCTTAAGATGGTCCTTAAGGTCTCTTCCAACCCAAACCATCCTGGGATTCCTTGACCCAGGTCAGGGAGACAAATAAAGCCACGATGGATAAGATGGAGTGGGACAACATTGTCACTGATTTATGGCTCCCCCCAGGCTCTCCATGAGCTTTCCAAACATCCCAGGCTGAGGTGATCCTTGCAGTCCTCTGCAAGCTGCTGAGGGAATTTTGGAAGCTGGTTCCCAGCCATGAGTTCCAACTCGGCCAACTCAGCACTTGCCTTTAATTTTAATAATTTGGCAACATCCCTTTATTTGAACGTCTTTCCAAGCCAGGGGCTGCTTTTCCTCAGAGAAAATGAGAGTGGAAGGCTGGTAAAATGCCTCCAGAAACTGGAAGTTAAATTAAGAGCTGGTTTTAAGAGCCCTGAGTGCACTTAGCCCCACGTAGTGGTGTCGGGAGCACTGGGAGCTCGCGGTGCCCAAAAGGGGGCACGGAAGGTTTAGGAGGCACAGGGAATGGGGGGGGGGGTGTTTTGTGGGTGTTTCTGGCCTTTCCGAGCCTGTTTTTGTTTGCAGTTGGAATGTATTAATAGGGGCATCCTTTGTTTCATTTCCCACAAAAGGCAGTTTTTACCAAAAAGTATTTATTTTGGAAAATTTGGGCTACGGAGCTTTTTTGTATCTGTGGGAGCAGCTGCTGGAAGTTTTATCCATTTGATCATCTCTTCCTACAAGGACTTTTTACATAGGCCTGGAGGGACAGGACAAAGGGGAATGGCTTCCTGCTGCCAGAGGGCAGGGTTAGGTGGGATATTGGGGAGGAATTCTCCCCTGGGAGGGTGGGGAGAGGCTGGGATGGAATTCCCAGAGAAACTGCAGCTGCCCCATCCCTGGAAGTGTCCAAGGCCAGGTTGGAGCAACCTGGGCTAGTGGGAGGTGTCCCTGGATGGCATTTGCTACCTCCAGGTACTTCTTGAGCCGGAAAGGAATTTGGCTTTATAATAAATATATTGTAAGACTTCCTGTTGTCTGAAGGTGTTCAAGTCTTTACCCTCCTCAAAGCAACCAATAAATCCTATAAATACTACCCAGGAAAGCAGAAGTTTCCAGTTGTCCTGACTTCCCTCTGATATCAGTTCCTTAAATTTCCAACCTCCATTAATGCAAACTTCCTTAAAGCTAAAGCATCCCAGAATCCCAGACTGGTTTGGGTTGGAAGAAACCTTAAAGATGACCCAGTTTCACCCCCCTGCCATGGGCAGGGACACCTTCCACTAGCCCAGGTTGCTCCAAACCCCGTCCAGCCTGGCCTTGGACACTTCCAGGGCAGCCACAGCTTCTCTGGGCATCAAAGCAGAGGTTCTTTGCCTCGGTGGGTGACCAGCCTGGAGGAGGGTTGGCTTGGACCTGTTGGACTTGGCAGTGCTGGGCTGGGCTCGATGATCTCAAAGGTCTCTTTTCCAACCTAAGTTATTCCACGATTCCATCTGTGCTTTCCTCCATGCCAAAGGCTCTTTCCCTGCCCCTGCAGCATCTCCGTGACCTTCGTGCCACCCCCCAGGGGTGTCTGTCCAAGTGACCCCTCACTCAAACAGCCCCCAGTCAGTGCAATCAGACAACTGAGAGCTATTCTGAACCCAGCAGCCTGAGCCAGTGTCTGGTCCCTCTTGCTGGGAGTTGTTCTTGCTGGGTGTTCAGTGAACTTTGGGTTGGATCCATCAGCTTTCAGCTCACTGATAACCCCAAATATTTCATGCCTCGTAGCCCGTGAAGGATGCAAAGATGTCAGTGAAAAGCTCTTGTGCCAAGGCAAACAAGGCCAGGAAGTTTTATTGTTCCCATTGCTGGGAACCTTCTTCCCTTTTTGGACACGGCTGTGCATCCAGAGAGGCCAAGAGGTGCAG